TTTTTTCCCCTGTACTGCTTTGACACTGTAGCTGTTTTAAGTCTTTTCTACTCTTAGTGGGGACTAAACTTTTGCTTTTAAAATTTCTCTTTATGCCTAACTCTTTTCTTTCTTAATTTTTAATTTGCCTACAGGAAGAACCTAGGAAAGTTCGCTTTGATTATGATTTATTCCTGCATCTTGAAGGCCATCCACCAGTAAATCACCTCCGCTGTGAAAAGTTAACTTTCAACAACCCCACAGAGGACTTTAGGAGAAAGTTGCTGAAGGCAGGAGGGGTAAGTGGCACTCTCTTGAGAAAGCCTTCCTGTAAAAAACTAGTGGCTAATGTGTTAAGAAATACAATATTCTGTGAATGGTAAAAGACATGAAGTTCTTTAAGGACTTAGCTGTGGACTCACAGTTTGAAATGAAGAGGTAGGCAAACAATATTTTAAGTAGGTATGAGTGTTTGCTAAGCTGTTGATTAAAACAGCCTCAAATCAAGATCTATGCAGCTCAAGTTTCTTTTGACAGATGCCAAAACCAAGCAGTAAACTATCCTCAATTACAGTAAACTATCCTCAATTGAAGTTGGTGGTATCAAAAGTTTGTAGAAACTTTTGGGTTAAGTTGAACATTATGTTAAGAATCTATAGAAAGGATTTATTGTCCAAATTTTTTGACTGTAATTAATAGAAAAGGTATATTTACACATATTATATGATTGAGTCATTAAATACAAATTTTTGTTGATTTGAATTTTAATGTAAGGATGAATTTCTCTTTTTAAAGTAATGATGAGAAATGTGTGATAAATTTTTGCCCTGGTGATTCTGTTAGAATGGAGCAAGATTTCAAGTGGAGTTTCTTGCAATAAGTACTTGGGATTTTGCTTGCTTCTAAGTCAGCTCTATAGACAAACACTCTGACTGGATAAAACACACCTTAAAATGTGTGTCACTGGGATCATGGACTCCTACTTTGTGAATTTCCAGTGCCATCTCATCTGGGCAATGCAGACCCCAACTATTTTGCAATGTGTTCTTTATTCTAGGATCCTTTTCACTTCGTTTTTCTGGAAGGTTTTTATATCTGTGAAGTGATCATTTTATATAAGCATGTGTAGACCATAACCTGTGCTTCATTTTACTGAGAAACTCTACCTGAGGGCTTTGTGGGAAAGAGCTGGGTTTCTTGTGGCACCGAAGTTCTTTCCCTTTATTGGGCCTGGGACAACCACTTTAAGAACTTCAGAAAAGCTCTCTCTCCTTACATGAGAACATTCCCTATATACAATGGAACCTCTGTAAGTTGACCACTGAAGGGACTGTACCAAACTGTTCAACATAGGGAGGTGGCCAACAGAAGGAACTCGGCCTGCTTTACTAGTCTGTACATGTGGTGCATGTCCAGGCTATGAAAATTAGGTCCCAACATAAGGACATGGCCAGTGGAGGGAGGTGGCCAACTATGGAGATTTTATTGTATTGTATATAATTGTGTGAACATTTTGGGTTATGGAGGCCCCCCTTTTTTTTTGGAGGCAGAGTCTCACTTTGTCACCCTTGGTAGAGTGCTGTGGCGTCATAGCTCACAGCAACCTCAGACTCCTGGGCTGAAGCAGTTCTCTTGCCTCAGCCTCCCAAGTAGCTGAAGCACCCTCCACAATACCCAGGTATTGTGTAAAAATTAGAGATGGGGTGTCACTCTTGCTCAGTCTGGTCTGGAACTTGTGAGCTCAGGCAATCCACCTGCCTCCTAGAGTGCTAGGATTACAGGCATGAGCCACCGTGCCTGACTCTAGACACCATGTTTTTGAGTCCTGTTTTGTCAGGCTACTGTTCTTTGAGCTGAGCTGTTAATGTATATTTGAAGTATTACAAGTACTTGTACCACATTTTTTCACTGTAATATTTCTCAATAAATTATAGGTTAAATAGGTATTGGTAGACCAGCTGCACTACCACTTACAGTATTTCATGGGGATATGCTTTATGAATAAATGGGTTTTTGTAACACAACTCATTTTAAAGTCAGGGACTCATGACTTTTTTTTTAGGAAGGTGTTTAAAAAAAAAAAACAAAAAACACCTGTTTCTTTTTGTAGTTATCAACAGCACAGAGTTGATGCTATTTACCTGTGGCTATGCTCTCAACCGTCAGCTGGTTCATTTTAAATCATAATCATCCTCATCATTTTTCTCTTTATGAGGGTGGCATTTTATGCTTCTGATTGTCCCTCTTGGGTATGCTATGTAGTTGGATAAGTAATTGGAGTGTATAAATTATGGATCTTGAATATGTCAGACTTCTTGTAAGACGTAGGAAAAAGTAAACATAAAACAAGAACCTTTTGAAGCAACCCTATAGTCCCCCAGTCCTCATGGGTGGCCTGTGAGTCGGAGGAGCGGGTACAGTCAGTGACAAGCAGTACTGCATCCTGATAAGGTCGCTGGGAGATTCTCAGCCTTTGCTCCCCTCAGCCTTTACATATCGCAGAATTATCATTCTTGACTTCTAACTTTGCTTCTTTGGGTTTAGGTGCTGTTTGAAGCCTGCAAATGTTTTCCTGTTAAATTGTGTTTTGATAACTCTAAAATAATTGAATTATGCACTATTCTAGGCACACATTTTTTGAAATATTACAAGTTCTTTAAGAAAGTGATTACAGTAAATGTTATAATAAAAGTAAAATTTAAAAATTCATTTGAAGCCATAGTAATCCCACAGATTTTGTCCATTTCATTTGGGACAATTAAATTAACCTTCTATAAAAATGTAAAACCCCAATTAATAGACTAACACACATATTTTGACTTACCTAGATTTTGGACTGCTTTCTATTATTTATATCTGACATTTTAAACATTTAACTTAGACTTAATGTAGCCTATTATGGTATTAATAACGTAGCCTTTTGATCGTACTAGAAATCTTCTGTTCATTGACTATTGTCTCTTCAGATAAACGGGATTTTTTTGGCTGTATTTTGGGGTAGTAGATGGGGTCCTGTGTTCCTTATACCTCAAAATTATATGTGTGACATAGTTATATATGTTCTATCTTTAAAGGAAAAAAAATTGAACCCTCCTTCATATGTACTGTGTACAGTCATTGTGTATGACTTCAGACACGAGTGCAGTAAACTTAGTGTTTCACTAAGATTCCTGCTTTACTTTTTAAACCAAAAAGTACATGGTGCCTTTAAAACGTAAGTTCACTTTTCAAGAGATCAGAAATGTTTTTAGAGCTGGCAGCATCTTTGAAAAAATGCTCTTTGAGTCTTAGAATAATACCAAAGAACATTTTTCAGAGAATCTTAAAAATTACATATTTTTTCTATTTCATAATCTATGAACCTATAGCTATATGAATTTTTTTGGAGGGGGGAGTCAATAACGTTCTTTTCCCTGTACTTTTTTAATGTCATAATCATTTTTTAAAAATAAGTAGAACCTCTATAACTTGGCCATCCTAGGGGCTATAACAAACTGGTCAATATATGGAAGTGGCCAACATAAAAAACTAGGCCTACTGTACTAAACCTTCATGTGGTGCATGTCTGGTCTATGAAAATTAGGTCAACTTTAAGAGGTGGTCAATGTAGGGAGGTGGTCAACTACGGAGGTTCTTTTGCAGTGTCAAAGAAATCTTATTGTACTTCTCTCTTGGAAGAAATGTACCCTGTTTTTTTTTCTGTTGAAGAAACTAAGGATAATCTTGTTTCAAAAGAAAAACAATTTTTGTGGGTAGTGCCCATTTGGATTTAAGCAGTTATTCTCCAAGACTTTTGCAAAACTGAATGATTTCTTTTATAGGACTCTGAAGATAGTTTTCTCTAAGTTGTAGACCTCATTATAACTTGCTGGGGAAATAGTGGATTTGGTTTAGGACCTAGCCCCCGTGTCAGGACTTTGGTAAGAAAAAGGTACAGGGGTAGGGGATCAGAAAATGGAAAGAACCAACTTCATAGCTTCTTTTAAAAATTATTATTTATATACATATTTATAATTTTTTCATTATTTATATTTATTGTTATAGTATTAAGGGAGGTTATTTCCTTTATTTTGAGATCTTCCATAGTTCTTTGGTGAGGGGAAGAGAATAGTAAACAATAAACTTTTAAGGTCAAGGACAAATAAATAATCTATCTTTAAATTGTAAGTAAAAGGACTAAATTACATCATAAGAATGTAAGGTGAATAAGAATGTACGGTGCTAAGAAGCACCTCTCCTTTTTATTGAGATATTTCTGTTTATTTCTCATTTAAAATAATTAACTGATAGATTCCCTTTTGGATCGATGATTGTCAAATTGTTCTCATCAGGGTGTTGGGATTAAAGGGCTTATAATCACAATAGATGATTTTATTTATCACCTAATTAGTGTCTGGAATTCAGTCATAACTGAAAAACAGTACTGAAGAATTCAACATCCATTGCTCTAAGACAGTGGATGAAAGAAGATGAGCTTTTCCTTTGAGTGTTGACAAAGTAAAGAAATACCGTATATCACATATTGTATATCACGTTTAACACCATTTAGTGTGACTAGTACATTAATGGACCTGTGTTGTGTTTAAAAATTAGCCTGTGCTATCTTTCTTCAAGGAGTTGATAGTCTGGCTGTTTGTATTTTGCTTGTATAAAGTGTAGTAACTTGAGGTCTGCTTGGAATATCATTTTGTAAGATGTAAGTTTTCACTGGTGAAATGATGCTTACCGTTGTTCTTAATTCTCAATTTGTAGCAGACTAAAGACTTCTCAAAACTATTGTTCCCTTAGATGGTTTCATGTGTAATAGTGTAATATGCCCAGCGAGGGAGTTGCATCTTTGTGCTTCCACAAAGGTAGTCTAAAAGAGGCAAACATCTTTGGAGAATTGAGTCTATTTTATAGTTGTTCTCCTTTTCTGGCCTGGAAATCAAGTGATCAAGTGGTCTGCTGTGATTATAGGTCTTTTTGTTTGTTTGTTTGTTTGTTTTCTTTTTGGGAGTTAGAATACCACTCTGTCACACTGGTAGAGTATAGAGGCCTCTGAAACTCTTGGGCCAAGAGATCCTCCTGCCTCAGCCTCCTGAGAAGCTGGGACTATGGTGTACCACCATGCCCCCTGTTTGTTCTGTTTTTAGTAGATGTGGGGTCTTGTTCTTGCTCAGACTGGTCTCAAACTCCTGACCTAGAGGAATCCTTTTGCCTTGGCCTCCTAGAGTGCTAGGATTACAAGCATGAGCCACTGTGCCGAGCCAGCTCTGTTCTTTACTATGGGACGGTGGTAGGGTGTTGACATGTGTGT